AAAAGGGGAGGTATGTGGTGAACTCAAAGCTAACAGATATGATTTCTTTATTAATAATGTATTTTATGTAAATGTAATTACTTATACCATGTGCTATTTCTTACTGTTCTAGAACATTCTAATTTGTGTAGGTGCATACACATGTATATATTCTACCCTTCCACGTTTTTGTTCAGTTCTTGTTCTTTTGTTCTTTGTTCTGTTCTTGGTCCCTTCTGGCTCTGTTTCTTCTCTTCTTTATTTGGTTTGTGTTTGGAGTGATTGCCAACCGTTTGTGCTAATCATTTTATTTATTCAGTGTATTTAACACATTCTCATTGCTAATTCTACGCTCCAGACATAACAAACATGTACATTGTACTTACATCTATGTTGTGTAGAGCTACTTCTGATTGAAATTATGCATTTTAAAGTTGCTCTAACATCACTGAGGCCAAAGGCGTAAATTTTTATTCTTCATTTTATTGCATTTTCTGTTATACAATGTAATACATTATACATTGTAGAAAGTTTGAGGTGTTACTCTGTGTATTATTAGTTATTTATTTATTTTAGGAGTATTCAAACTTCATGAACTGTATCCAATGGATCTATCCACAGGACAGGATAAACTGTTTAACGGTGTATATGAAACACTTGGCTCATTTCTTTAAGACTTGAACCTTATATTTAACAATGTGCTAAAAAGATATTCAAACAAGATCTCAGGTACATGAGGGTAGAGAGATGGGGAGATAGAAAGGTTTGCAGTTTAATGCATGTACATGTACATACATGTACAGAGGGTAAGAAGCAGTATACATGTACAATGTATAAACCTTAATCAAAAGAACTCTTGGTTATTGCTAGCAAAAATAGTTTATTTATCTGCCTTGCTACAATTAGTGTACACAAGCATTGCAAGTAAGCTTAAGGGGTCCAACTGCACTAAATGAGAGATTGAACTATTTGTGACAAAAAGATACTATTTTATGTATAAAATTAGTATAGAATAATAATAATAAGATAGTTTTATTTTATGTTATTTTAATTTTTTTTATTTTAGCCTCAAGAGCATTGTCTTTTTAAATGTTCATTTTGTGGTTGATCCACCAATATTGTCTTAAATCGGACACTAAGTAAGTACATTTACATTAATAACTGTGCAATTATGGCAAATATACATGTACTTTTAATGGGTAAGCCTAAAGAAAGCAAACCGTTACATTATTGTTAAAGTCAATGCCTTCATCTATACACGTACAGTACACTTACATGTATTATAAAAAAATTGTCACCCTGCTACATGTGTATATTTTTTATGAAATTTAAATGTCCATTTAAAAGATTTTGCAAAATAAGTTTCTTCAATATTCAGTAATGTAGGACCATGTACATGTGTACACAGTGTTACACTTACATGTAGTTTCTTTGCTCTTTCTTTATCTCTTAATTGATGTACAAAGTCATGTTTGATTGCTTCAATCTTTGTCACAGTCTCACAAAAATTACTTAACTTTACCCTCTTCTAACCTTTTTACATCAGTATGTGTTATAAAACTTATAATAATTGTGTATACTGTAACTGAGCAGTTGTAATAGCAATTACAGGAAGTGGTAGAATCAACAGAACTGTACTGGAACTGGGTTTTGGGGAAGTACAGCCTAGTTTTATAACAAGTGTGAACTTAACCAAACTGCACTGTAACCAAACCAAACCAGGCTAAAGTGGTGCAACAGATTAGGTGCTCTGAAATGGTGTAGTTAAGTTTTGAAGTTCAGTTGGTGTAGTTAAGTTGTGCAGTGTGAACTGCTGCCAACATGGTTCTTTAGAACGAAACTAATCTAATTAAATGTAGGTACAGTCCTGTACAGCTGGGGAGGTAGTGTGAACACACTATAGCATCCCTCATTACCATAAGAGTAATGGCCCAGTTCAGTAAAAAAGAGCTTTCGTTTGTTGAAGATCTTCCTAAGCATGTGGAGATAGAGTGTCCAGCTTGTCTTAAGATTTTGACCAATCCTCATATTGTGAGCTGCTGTAGGCATAATTTCTGTGGGGTCTTGTATTGAGATAGTAAAAGCTAGCAGTGGATCTTGTCCTATTTGTAGAGAGAAGAAATATCAATCATTTATCAATAAGAAATGTTCACGTATTATCAATGGACTGGAGGTCTACTGCAGTAATAAAGAGAAAGGATGCCAATGGAAAGGAGAATTGAAGAATATGTCTACTCATTTTAATGAAGAGAAGAGAGAAGGAGAATGTCAATATGAAGAAGTAAAGTGTCGACATGAGAAATGTCAAGAGAGAAAGCAACATAAATATCTTAAGTATCATGAAGATAAAGAATGTCCTCATTGTCCATTTTATTGCCAATATTGCTGGAGGATATTAGGTACAATGTACATTCCTCTTTATTACTGAGGATCATTGTAAGAAATGTTTGTGGTATCCTGTTGCTTGTCCTAATAAATGTGTGTCTACTCATATGCCAAGAGGTAGTCTCACTGCTCATGCGAATCAAGAGTGTCCATTAGGGCCAGTAGATTGTGTTTTTAGTTGGGCTGGTTGTAATGATAAGCCATTACGCAAAGATGTACATGTACACACTGCTGATACTAAACACATGACACTATTAGCTGTAGCTTGTGGACATTCAATCGCACTAAGTAAGTATGTGTACATGTACATGTACAATAATAAATCAATTTTGTACATAATTGATGACACATGTACATTTTATGTACTCTTAATGGCTGAGTCTATGCAAGAAAACTTTTACTGTTGAAGTAACCTTTATTGTTAACCATTATTTTTACTTTTACACTGTTATTGTTAAAGTCAATACCTTTATGTATACATGTACATGTCAGGGGCGTATCCAGCAGGGGCTGAGGGGGGCTTGAGCACCCCCCTCATGGCTGGGCTCAGAAAAAAATTGATCAAATCCTGGACTTTTGCATCACTAGCAAGCCTCTTAACAAAGTTATCTAGCCCCCTGATCATTATTTCAACAGTTTCCAGTGCTTTCAGGAGCAATCAGAAGTTGTCAGAACAGTCGAGCCGCACCCTACCGGAAACCTCTTCGTTAAGAATTTTGTTTGCACGATACTCCCACGCATAGCTATTT